ACCGATATTCAATATTTTATGGTTGTTCTCCGTCTGAGTCGACGGCCGTGGCCCAAGCAGGAAAATTCTATTCGGTAATTTCAGAGTCGGAATTCAGCCACGAAAGCGATCGATATCGTGCGAATTCCGGGTTTCAGTTTGGCACATCGTTTCTGCGGCTCTGGCAACCGCTCTGAATCGAGGGCAACCGCTCCGAATCGAGGGCAACCGCTCCGAATCGAGGGCAACCGCTCCGAATCGAGGGCAACCGCTCCGAATCGAGGGCAACCTCTCCCCGCATTCCGAATTCCACCATTTTCTTATCGTCAGAGAAGTAGTAAAAGGTCATTTTTTCCCTGTGAAACGCTGAGTTATCCTGAAATTTCGCCATTTTTCTTTTCAAAACGGTGCGGTAATTTTCTTGGAAGAGAAAATGTAAAAGAAATTATAATATTTTAACGACCGGTATTTTATTTCGAAGGAATTCATCTAATAATTTACCACAAGGTCAAGGGTCCTGGAGTGAAGTGAGCATCACGTGAGGCTTATCGCGAGTTATCTAGAACCATCTGGAATTATCTGAAATGATTCCGGATCGTTCCGAAATGGAGAGCAGCACAAAAAGAAAGAAACCGGTATTTAGATTTATTTATATTTAAAGAACGCGACGAGGAGGCACGTGGGAATTCCTTCCGCGTTTGTTTCCCGCTCATCCGAGATATCATTAAATCCTTTGAAAGTCGTTCGCAATGCGATTCATCGCTCGGGGAATGCCTGGGAAAGAGTGACTCGATTACAACTAATTTTAGGTAATTTTATAGGTAAGCGAGGTAACCGTTGGCGGATCCATCTCACGCAATTACTCTCAGTTCAAATTCCGTCGTTTAGATTTTCCTCCTCCACCGGGAAATCCCGTGACGCATTCCGTCGCCAGAGACGTCTAGCGTGGGTTTTGCACTTCTCGAGTGAGTTGGCAAAGAACGCAATTAACGAAAACCCAAATCAGACGAAAAAATGCTTTCTTCAACTTTTTCTGTGCGGAAACCCAACTGAAGGTTTTTCCTCATGGAAGCTGCTCGCGAAGCCAACTGCGATCCGACGGCGAAATTCCGAACGGGAATCGACCGACATTCAACATTTTATAATTATTCGCCGTCTGAGTTTTTTGATTCGCCGTCTGATGGCTATGGCCCAGCTGGAAAATTCTATCCGGAAAATTTTTGAGCCGGAAGAAAGCGCATTTTGCAATGCGATAGAATTCAGCCAGGAAATCGCTCGATATATTTCGCGAATTCCGGGTTTCGGCAACCGAATGGCACATCGTTTCTGCGGCACCAGCGACCACTCTGCAACGAGGGCGACCACTCAGAAACTAAATTCCGAATCGCAGCATTTCTTTGTCGTCCCAGGAGTCAAAAGAGAAGCCGTTTTTACCTATAAAACGTAGGGTTCTCAAGGAATTTCACTTATTTCTTCTCTAAACGGAGTGGGAATTTTCTTGGAGGGAAATAAAAAAAAAATTATGATTTTTTTATGGCCTGGAATTTTGGTTCGGAGGTGAACGATTTACAAGGTCAAGGGTCCTGGAGTGAAGTGGGCATCGCGTGAGGCTCACCTCGAGTTATCTGGAATCATCTGGAATTCAAGTCATTCAAGTCATTTCAAGGTCGTTCGCAATGCGATGCAAGATTCACCGCTCGGGTAATGCTTGGGAAAGAGTGACTCGATTGCAACTAATTTTCCACTCAACTTGGATTCGTATCAGAGGGGAGAGTGGGGATAAGCGAGGTAACCGTTGGGGGATCCTCCTCCAGGAATTACTCACTCAGTCCGAGTTCCACTGGGTAATCCAGTGACGCATTCCGTCGCCAGAGACAACTAGCATGTGTTTTGCACCTCTCCTGTTGGTTTGCCATTTGGCCAGTCTTTGCCCATCTGTGCATCCGTTTCATTTCCGTGCCAAGGTGCGAGGGAAACAGACATGTTTGGACATTGACACAGGTAACTGACATATGTGATTTCCGTGGAATTTTCCTGTTCATATTCATGTACACATTCCATGGCGATCCATGAGATTACCATGGCACTTGCTGATCATTCATGCGATTCCAAACCTCTTTCTGTAAAAAGAGAAGACGCCGTGGTAAAACAGGAGTCATGTTTGGGTGAAGCGCATGGGGGTCGCACGATCCACTTATGTGGCTCTGCCAATTCTAAGGGAACGTGCTAATTTGGACTCTGGAAGAAAGACTATATGCTGTTGAATATAAGGTATTTCTTTGGAATGGAGTCGTTCGAGCGAGTAGACACACCACCTCCAAAGGAGGCAGATGAAGTCCTGCAGAAACTGAAGACGAATCCGGACGTTTTAATTTATTTCCCAAATCCAGCTGCGTTTGAGTAGTTAATTCCCTCGATTAGTCATATTTTATCTCTTCCTATTTTCCCTCCCCCGCTTGGCTCAACTGCGAGGCAGCACTTATTTTATAGCCGGCCGACCAAAAGATCCAAAAGCCAAGATCCTTGTTGCCCTTGCGGCGATCTAATCTCCAACGGAACCCCGTCGCCTGCGCCCTCGAATCCAAGCAAAGAAATTGCAGTCGGAGATGATAATGGATCGGCGACCGATCGCCTCAGAGGAAGGCGACAGAGGAGGAGGAGGTCTGCGCTCCCACTAGGCAGACATCCAGCGGCGGTTTTTGGGGCACGCATGGGATCCGCAGGGACCACGACCGCTAAGTTTCTCTGGCCTCTTCATTCTCGGATTCCTTTTCCGGCAATTTTGAGACGGACGAGATTAGCATTTTTATTCATTTGGAGCGGAAGGGAACCGTCATTGAGCAATGCATGCAATTATCGAGAACCCGAATAATACGAAAAAAATTTTCCTCGAACCGGATCCCAATTCCCACCACGAAATGGAAAAAAGGACAATGAAGGAAAAGCTCCATCACGCGCTTTCGTCGGAGGAATCGATTCCGAGTGAAACTTTCTCTTATATTCTTCCTTTGGAATTTCACGAAGAGACTTTTTCGAATGTGGGAACTCCGGCTGTCACTCCACCGATGCCATCTCGAAAGACGGCCAAACCACATCTGTCGCCTGGTTCATCGCTTCCCTACCTATTATTTTTTAAATTCGAAGCTGAACGTCGTCTTTTCGCCAAAATTCGGCGTCGTATTTCCAAGAAACCGGTTCGTCGGGTTCAGGGGATCTCGCCGTTTCGCCGTTCCGCAGCGTTTAAGGCTCAAACGACGAGCATTTCCTCGTTCGCGAATCTTCGCTTTGTTGTTGCTTTTTATTTTTATTTATATTTATTTATTTATTTTATTTGGAGAGACTCGTGAAAGTCGGTAGGGTAAGTACCCCAATTTTAGGAAACCAGGGAGCGAGAGTCATAGGTCGTCGTACGTGAAGATGTTGGTTAAATGCTTGAAAACGGCCAGATTAAGTAATTATCCTATAATCCTTGATTAATTATCCTGATTAGCCAACAACTGGAGACCGGTCAGAAACCGGGGCGAAAAAAATGAATTGTATTTCCTTCACCCGGTAGAGCATTCATTATATATCACATCTGTTGAAATGAAACTGTATTTATTTTAATACGGTTTCAGGAGTTCTGAGGGAATAATATCTTAACTTTTTTTTTAGAATGAAAACGGATGATTTTAGAATGATAATTCGTCAGCCGAACTTGAGAAATTGCACCGTCCAACAACATGCTATTCTGTCACGCATTAATCTGAGACGTTCCATATAGCAATTGGCAAACGAAGAGAATACTTGAGGGAAAAAAATACTGGAGGAAACATGCATTAAGCGTAGTCTTGTTAGAAGTATGGTATTTCGTGATGCTGAGTGGTGGGAGAAAATCATGAAGCAAGCAAGCACTCTGGGTTCCATGCCCATTAAGTTACCGGGACCGGGGCCTCCCGGTTCCTGGTAACTTAATGGTCCCTGGTAATGGTAACTTAATGGTAATGATCGTTTTCACGGATTCTGCCTAGTTTTTCTCCGGGGGAAGTCCGGCAGACTCCGCCTGAGGGAGCTTGAGGAATTGTGTGGGGGATCTGGTGGGGATTCCAAGCTTTCAGTTTCAGATCTCAGAGCATGTTTGCGTTGTTGAACGTCATTGGCAATATTTACTTTCGGCTCCATTGAAATAAACCTGAGAAATCGATGAAAGGATGCATGAAACGACGACGTCGATGAAATTGATGAATTGCTGCACGCAAACGACTGGAAGTCAATTATTCGCCATCACAGCAGATGGCTCAGCCACTCCCGGACGGAAAAGACAAAAAAAAACACGACGCGACATCGCTCGTTCACCCCCGACTCGGCGGCGCGACCAGCCGACACCACCACCGCCGATAGGCGAAGTACCCGCTGACGACGAGAACGACGACGAGCACGCAGATGCCTCCCGTCAGTCCCATCGCCGAGAGCCTGGAGTCGGCATCTTCCGGAGTCACGGACTTCGGCCCGCAGTCCCGGAAGATCTCGTCCGCGTCGAGCGGCAAGGAATAGATGGTGTCGTTCTTCGTCCAGCACGTGTAGGCTCCTTCCTCGTGCCACCGCTCCAGTTTCTCGGGCCTTTCCGAGGCCCACCTGTGTGGATTTAAGGCATTTTCTCTCTCGAATGTCTTCCGGAAGTTTCGTAAATAAAGCATTCAAAAAAAGGCTCCAAGCAAGTGGCAGGTAGAAACGAAAACAACGACATAATAAGTTCGTGTCTTCTCCAGAAATCTTCACCTTTCAGAAACTGAAATAAACTTTTTTTTTTAAGCGATCACATCCCAAGTAACACAAGATACAACGTTTAGGAAATGTTGATGAACAATGTCCCAAGTAACACAAGATATTCCAGCAACGTTTAGGAAATGTTGATGAACAATGTTGCACCTATGTGTAAATGTCCAAAACGTCAACGTTCCTCAAATGTTGCGAAGGAACATTGCATTTACGTTGCAAATCGATACTTATTCATTGCATATACGTTGCAGATACGTTTCAGGATTTATGTTGCTGTAATGTTGATTAAAAACGTTGCTTCACGTCATCTCGTGGCAAGGAGGACAACTTTACACTTTTCTAAAACTTTTAAGTCCATGTTGTATCAGAATGTTGTCGCTACGATGTCGATGTCAAGAGTGTCAACATTCTGTCAACGTTGATAGCTAATGTTGCAATGACATTCGTAGAAGTGTCTCAGCAACATTCCAAGTGAAAACATTGAAGCAATGTTTCCTCAATGTTGTAGGTCAACTTGCAACATAGCGCAACATAGGCAACATTTCGAAAACGTTTCATCAACATACTGTGTTACTTGGGATTAGACGAGATCATTAATGCGGCTGAACATTCTCCGCGAACGTATCGCTTAGCAATGCCTTCGATTTTTGCGGAAATGGCGGATTTTGGAGATGACTCCTTTTCGGAAGACCGACCTGTAGAAGCTGTAGAGCCCGCAGTCGCACACGAACGGGTTCTCGGAGAGGTCCAGCCTCCCCAGAGATGCAAAGTCCGCCAGCATGGCCTCGGTCACCTGCATCAACTTATTCCGACCGAGCCTCAACGAATTCAATTTCCCCGCCGCCCCGAGAACGGGGGAGGTCCACGCCCGGACGTCGTTGTCCGTCAGCGTGAGGCACTCCAAGCTCTCCATCCCCTCGAAGAATTCCCGGCTGAGGCGAGCGACGAAGTTCTCGTCCAGCTGGAGCTCGCGGAGGTTCCTCAGCGCCGCGAAGGGCGACCCGACGCCTCGGATCTGGTTGTCCTTCAGCAGCAGGGAGACGAGGGAGCCCAGACCCGCGAAGACGTCGTCGCTCCGGATCTCCAGTTCGTTGCACGACAGGTCCAGGTGCTCCAGGGACTCCAGGGCGGAGAACGCTCCGGCCTCGATCGACTTCAGACGGCATTCGTTGAGGTCCAGCCTCGTCAGCGCCCTCAGACCTGCAAGCGGCAGAGTCCAATTGCTAATGTGTTTTTCTGGTGTCATCCCGATCTGCACAAATACATTAATGTAATGCCGAAAATATATCGAGGCCTCCAAATATTTTTCGCGTCGAATCGAAGTTGCATGGCATGAATGCCGCCAGGTTGAATACAAATTTCCTCAGCATCGGAACGAGATAGGTGTTGCTTCGAGGTCGAATTCATGCTTAGCTCCTGTGGAGTGCTCAGTACACAGACATTCTCTCGGCATATATATGAGCTAAATTGCACTACTACACATCTAATGATTGAGAAAACGTCATGCGGTCATGGAGATTTCCGCCGATCGAGTTCCATCCTTAAGCGATTCATTTCCCCACCTTCAGAGGAAGAGATACCCGGCACCGCTGGGTCGGGTCACCACTCTCCATATGCATCAACAAATTTTCAATTTAATTTTTATGCGCGAGGCAAAGATAAAGCTCCATGTGAGAGTGCTGGAACCGTTCCTCTTGCTTCAATGGGGTACCACTATCAGGCGTTGAGACTCCATCTCACCACACTCGTGGGAACTATGTTCGCACGAATGCCTGCCAGATGGCGCTCCCTGACACTGCTCACATGCTCACATGCCGACACGCTGGCATTCACCATCAAATTTTCGACATTAAATCAATGTCTACCAGGCATTGAACCTACAACTTTCCTTCTACGGCTTCAATTATCAACATTGAGTGAATATTGTCGAGCAAACATGCCATTCGATCTAAGGACGGAATCACTTCGGGACAAATGCAGCTCTTTCCCGAATCAGACTTTTAAGATTTCGGATCACCGTCTCATTCTGCTCGATCTCTCTCCGGTTTCAGCTTTCAAGGATTCCCATAGGGACTGGAGCGCCATCCATCATGGAGTTATTTATGTATTTAAAAAATGCATTTAAAAAATGTATTTAAAAATGTATTTAAAAATGTATTTAAAAAGTGTATTAAAATGTATTTAAAAATGTACTTAACAAATGTATTTAAAAATACTTCGAATTTTATTACCACGAGAATTTAAAGTTGGATTGAAACGCTGATCCTGTATCGATCTGGAATCACTCAAGCAGTATTGGAAATTAAATATTCAATAGTTTGTACTTCATTTTTCGAATCAAATCAATTTCCTTTCTTAGATTTTTCCATAAATGGAAAAGCAAATTGAACTGTTGCACCAATTTCTTCGGATGGATGCGAATTCAAATTCTCATTTAATTTAAATTCCCATTCAAATATTTCAGGGAATGGACGTGCGGCAGAAGAAGTTATGGTCCCCGGGAATTTGCATTTGCAGGATTGCAATTACCCTTCGCATGTTCAATCACGAGATGGAATTTAATTGATAATATTTAATTACGACTGGAGTCGAGTCCGACTCTCAGCTGCGAAAAAGCAGGGAATCGGAGACGCCTGTCGACAAATTCCCGGTCGGACTCGAAACGCGAAAAACGTCCTTTTTTTCCGATTAACATGCGACACATGCGCGATTCGACTCCTATAAGGTGGAAGGGACGCGGGAATATATCCTCGGGCAGGTCGAAACTCATCGGGAGAAATATTCAATATAATATCGGGAAAAATTCCGAACCGATGAAGGTCGTCCTGGCGATGACGGAGCCCCGGGTCAGTCTCTTGATGGAGCTCTGGGTGAGAGAAAGGGTGCGGAGTCGGTCCGTGTTGTTGAAGGCGGGGATGAGCAGGCCGTCGTCGTAGTCGCCGTCGTAGTCGCTGTCGTGGTCGCCATCGTCGGCACGCTCCTCGTCGTCGTCGTCTTCGCGGGATAGCAGGGGAGTCCAGTACTCGTAGTACGGGTTATTGTCCAGTTCCAGCCTGATGAGCGTCGGCAACATGACCGCCTCTGGCACCTAAGGGTCAAACCCACGTACGCTATATCATGCAATAGCGATTATGCAATAGCGATAATGCAATAGCGATGATGCAATATTGATTATGCAATAGCGATAATGCAATAGCGATTATGCAATACCGAGGCAGAGTACTTTCACGACTGAGTTTCAGCGACGGCATCGTGCTTCTCAGCACGGGCACGAAAATTTGCGAAATTGGAACGACTGCTACCCGACCGGTTAGAGCCATCCTAACAAAAATAACCAGATTACATCTCGAATAACCTGATCGTCCCGGCAACACGCCAGCAATTCCGGCTGCCCTTCAGATTCTCTCCAACCGCAGGCACCCCGTCATCATCGGCAACCATGTAATAATTGATTCGCTGGAAAATTTTCCGACCCAATTGATAAGATGCCCTACTTTCTAAACCACGAGCCTTTTAGGACGGTGCAAATGTACTAGGTAGGCCTTTCCAAGAAGCAATCACTTGGCAGCTGCAATAAATCGATAGGTTATCTCGAGTACCACTAAAAACAACCTCAGTGGATAAATATATTCTATAAATAGAAGAATGCTCCCTCAGAATATTGAGGAAATCTCTCTGTTGGCCTTGACTCATTTTGAACGCAAAAAATTTAGTTATTAAAAATTTAAACAATTTTTAAATTATTAAAATTAAATAATTTATAATAAATAATAAATTAAATAATTTTTAAATTAAAAAATTTTTAAATTAAAAATTTAAATTAAAAAAATTAGGCATAATCTAAAATAGAAATGAAAATTCATCAATATTGCAGGAAGATATGGCATATAGAAAAGATCGACAGAGACACTTTTCCTCAAAGAAAATCAAAACAAAATCAAAATTTCCGATGTCAATTAGTTTTGCAGGTTCTATCTATAGTCTCATAGTTCTATCTTCCCTTTTCGGGGTTAGTTCGGTGGAGAAAGGCATGACGATACAGTCATTGCAAAAAAAATTATTCATGACTGCAATTATCTCGTATTAAAGAGTCAGACACGGTAAAGTGGGTAATTTTCTTGATTTCGAGGAAACAATGCTGAACGTTCTTCCATTTATACAGCTGAAATACTTCTAAGGGCTCGGCAAGAAGCAAGAGTTAGAGGATTTCGGTTTTTTGAGGCACACTGTACGGTTCGATTCGGGAGACTGGGGACTGCCTCCTCGGAATGCCTCCTCGGAATGCCTCCTATTTACCCTCGCGTTCTGCTGCCTCACTCCTCCTCCCTTATCTCTGCTACCGTCGCTGCGGAGGGCTGGCAGTTGCCATGCCATCGCCCGCGCGAGACGCCGTTTATCTCACGCGGTCGCTCCGAGATAGTCGACATCGCTGACCTCCGTGAGTCCGTTCCCGGTGAGATCGAGGAACTCGAGATTGGAGAGTCCGTCGAACGCGCCCCCCTCGATCGTCCGGATCCGGCACCTCGAGAGATCCAGCCGCTCCAGGACCGGCAGCCGCGGGAACGACCCGTTCCGAACGGTCGTGAAAGCGTTCTCGGCCAGGAGAAGTTCCAGCAGCGTCGACGCGATCGGCGCCAGCACGTTCGTCGGCACTTCGCTCAGGTCGGTCCGCGACAGATCCAGGGAGATGTTGTACTTGGAGTCGATGTTGGTCGTGGCTTGGGCCAGGTTGTCCATCACCAGCTCTTTGTTGTCCTTCAATATTAATATTTGAAGATGCTGCAGAGGGGATAAGCTACCTGTAACAAAAAACGAACGGAGCTTCTTGCTAAAGCGGCTGCGAGCACTTCGAGGGAGCCTTTGCCATCCTACGGAACGAAAATCGCATCGCCTCACCTTCGTCGATGTAGAGCAACTGACACGTTTCCAAGTACAGAAACGCGACCGGACTCAGCCGAAGGGGCACGAATATGTCACCCGGGAGGATCCTGACGGGATTACAGTTCAAACTCAGAACTTGCAATTTTGGCAAGACCGTCAGCTCCTCGCACGGAGAACGTTCGGAAGAAGAGTTTATGCCTTCGCACCGACAGAAATATCCCCGACTCAGGACGACACTCGTTCCGTTGTCGAACTCCAGGAAGTCGTAATAGGACTCCATGTTTATCTGATTGTCCTCCAGATGCAGATTGGTGAGTTCGTCGAGACCGAGGAACGTGCACCACGTGAGATCGGCCCGGATGAGGTTCTCCGACAGGTGAAGGAACGTGAGACCCGAGAGTCGCCTGAAGGCCCCCTCGCCCAGCTCCCCGATCGCATTCCGCTCGAACCAAACCGTGCTGACCGTGTCCGAGCGCAACTCCTCCTCCCCCAGGCGATCGAGTCTCGAGTCCGTCACGTGGAGGAAGTGCACGCCATCGGGGAGAGGCTTCGGGAGACGCGTCACGTTCTGGCAGAGGAGTTTCCCGTTCTTCGTGGAGCAGCCGGGCTCGGGACGGGGGGCCGACGAGGCGAAGGCTTGCAGGAGGACGGGGCCGACGAGGGCCAACATCGCCATCACGGTTTCGCGATTGAAAATCATGATGATCACCTCGCTCCAGCTCCCACGATCGAATCTAACAGCCACAAATCACGAAACTCCCTGAAATTCCCTCTCGAGTCCTTACAACTAATAAATGAGCGTAACGAATAGGCGAATACAGTGCACAGGAATTGATGAACAATATGACAAGCCGAAGAGGGCACACTCCATAAGCGGGATCAAGGTAGACCTTTATTTTTCATAGTTATCTTTCATTGCCAGGTAAAACGGTGGAAAAACCCATCTTATCTTGCGCAAGATGGAGGAGAGCCCCTCTTTGGGGAAAACACCTCTCCAGCTTGGTTGTCAAGAGCTAATTGCGTTGGATCCCCATTGGCCCAATTTACAGGGCGACCAGAGAAGATTCATATAATAAAGATTCATAGATTATCATATTCGCACAAAAACACGAAATATCTCACTTTATTTCTTTAAGTTTTGAAATGCTTAAATTTCGACTTTGAATTTTATACAAATATCTGAGCATCATTCTTCGGACGGGCCGAAGAATGTCTTCCACTTTCGCCCCCGAGACTTAATTCGTAATTGCTAAATGTTCCCTCTTATCTCGATGAACGAGGGCGAGAGTGCACAGTGTTGACGTTCCAAGCGTTCATTTCGCGACTGATGTCTGCCTCTAAACTTAAAAAGGGGAGGCAAGGTGAACGCAAGGTGAACTCCCAGTTTTCGCTTTCCCACCCTGTGTAAGACGGATGCTAAGAATCAAATCTGAGGCCCCCTCCCTCCAAGCAAAAAAATAAATAAATAAATAAAATAAAAATAATAAAATAATAATAGTTCTTAAAAATAAAATTTTTTGCACGCATTTATTTTGCGTCAGCCTTCTCTGGACCACTCTGTAGGAGAAAAATATATCCCGTGGACATCTTTTTAAAAGTTCAGACATACGGAAATCGAAGGTCATAAAATCTTTTCAGTGTCAAGCCAATTGAATCAGGATTTTCCCCATCAAATACATCGGTTTGCCACTAGTATTTCCAGCTCATTCTACGCAACTGTCGGCATTTTCGCCCGAAATTCTACCATCCCAATTAGCACTTGGGGAGCTAATGGGCAAAACTTGCAATCTCCAAGAATTAGTTGAGCAGCCCTTCAACAGTTTCCCCACTGACACCAGATGAACATTCGCAAAATTTTTCCGAACAGTGCTTGTCAGGCGTGGAGAATAATTTTTTACTCGTACCGGAATGGACCGAGAGTGGCAAAGGGAAAACGGCACACGTCGCCTCCCAGAAAGGGAACAAACAAAAGTTTCCTCGAACCTCGTGGGAAAAAGTCCTCGCCCCTTCCGCGGGGGCAAGACCACCGAGTTCCCACTCGAAGCACGGGGGTAGAGATATGGCAAGCTCTTCAAATAACCGGGGATGAGGCAGCACTCGAGACCAACGGAGTGAACTGTCAACCCAGGATGAAGCCCCCTATCGCTTGTCAGATTCCAAGTGTACTTGGAGACCGTTAGACTCGTTCACTGAAGCATGGTAAATCGGTGGCGCTGAACATTTTACTTAAGCTACCAGTATATATTCAAACCGTAGGTTAAACATATAGGGTGTGCGATCCTGGCAGCTAGTTTGGCCGAGCGACAAACGTGTATTTGTGTGTGTGTGTGTGTGCGTGTGTGCGTGTGAGACAGTTCTACAGGCCGACTTCTTCGAGATATGAATAGGGAGTCTCAGCACAAAGCATCCTTATCATCCGAGGATGTGCCTTTCCGATAATAAATTTCCAGGTAGGCCTTACGAAAGGTGTGGGAGGCAGCTTTCACGGAAAATCGGAGATTCGCTCTCATCCCGTCATCTTTCGGATCGACAAGGAGACGATAGTTCCCGTGGTACTCCAAAGGCGACGCTGGCAGTGCTCACTGCAGTGCCTGCCGCCACTTTAAATCCAAGGATTTAGTGTCCGTGATGAAATAAGGGGCGTTTCCTCAGTTAGTCGCCACTTGCGTTCACACGGCTCCGCAAAGGAATCCATCACCGCAGTTTCCTCGAGGGGTCCATCTCTCAAAATGCACAATTCCGAAATATCAGAATGTCATATTTTGATTTTTTACTCCAATACGAGATAACTGCAGTTATGACGAAAGTTTTTTTTTGCAATATGACTGTATTGTCACACCCTTCTCCACCATACTAACCCCGAAAAGGGAAGATAGAACTATAGATAAAACATACAAACCTAATTGGCTACAAGATGGCCTCTGACCCCTGCCACGGGAGCAGGACTTTACTCAGACTCAATGCAATATCATTGATGAAAAGAACCTATCCAAGCCGTTAATTACATAATGGATGAATCCGGAAAAGATAGTTCATTGAACCCTTTTCTTGAAAATATCCTGTTCACGTCTTTAATGAATTCACGTCGTTCAAGGAACGCATAATTCAAACTATTTTTGATCGCTCTAAATCTCGGGCATTTAAGCAGTCAATAGAACGTTCCCAAGGACGTTCGTGTAACGCTGGGAATACCTTAAACGAAACGTACATTCCGAGGCTTCGAAAACGTATCCTGAGCCGATTGCAGGTCAGGTGTGCCTCCTTCTACCTCCTTCTACCTGACCTGCCTACTTTTCTCATGCGAAATAAATAAATCATTATTGTTCACCTTTCACTTGACCCGTGATTTCTTGGACACGCCAAGTGAAAGGGATTCCGTCACATTATTAAACACTGCAGAGTCTTTCTGTAGCTGCGCTTTTTTCCGGTTTCGTGCAGGAATATACGCAGGTCTGTGCAATATGGAGACGTAGGGTAGTCGTGGACTGTATGTTTACCTGAACATAATACATTCGAGGGCCAAATTTAATTGATTCTGGCACGGCCCAGCTCATACCTTCGCAAGTTCAGCATCACTTGAGGCAAAATGAATCATTCATGGTTTCAAGGCAATCAATTCTCAAGGACGTGAAATTCTTTCAGTATTTCAAGCTCCATCAAGTCGCTCAAGAAGCTCTTCAGGTGGTTCCCTTCATGCATGACACGAGTCCCTGATATATCAGATAATTTATGAAGTCTGACCAGTAGATGAGTTGAAGAAGCACGTGGAGCTGTGCGTTGATGGGGAATGCACCCAGAGGAGGGAAGTTCTTAGATGATGCTCCATGGTGCAAACCAATTTTCAACGCAATCGTGAGTTCCCGAATGGACTCACAAGATGTTACGTTGCATTATGTTCCATTGGGATTAGACCAAGAGATTGCGGTCTGTTTGAATTGCATTTCTCTGGAGGTGTAGAACGTTTCCTGCTATCTTCATGAACACCAGGGTTGCTCTTTACTAAGAGACGAGGTCCCAACCGCATTCTTTGTTTTAGTACTGAATTGATTATACTAATTGGATTGGTGGACATGAAAGTTTCTTGCTAAAATAGATAAATAGCAATTCGTGAGCTTAACTGAAGCTGGGACATTAAAACTTCTTTGGGCGATAGTTGAAAAGTGAACCTCTTTTCGGATTCAATTATTGCCTTCGAACAGAATCAATATGGACCCACCTACTGGAGATACATTATTTCTCTTTTCCCCAACTCAGTTTCTCCGAACGATTTGAGAAAACGGAAGTACTGGCTTTCGACCCTGGGGCAAGATGGTCGGGATGAATAAAGGAATAGCTTTGATGGAGTCGTATCTCTCTTTTAACTCTTTTGAGGGTGGTAGCCCCCATATGTAACCATCTCTTCGGGACTTTCCTTCTCTACGTCCATAGAGGCTACTGCACTAAACACCATCGCACCATTGGCTCGCATCATTTTCACCAAGTTGGTGAAAATGAATGCAGGAAATTATTTAATTTTTTTCGGGATCTGAAATCATTATCTCGTTCATAAATTAAATGTTTTCGTTAAAGAGGGAAAAGTACTGCTTAGAAATCTGAAATGGATCTTGATTCAGGCTTCCATTCCTCTGATCACAATGCAGGTAGTTGGTTCAGAAGTGCTTCGGCATGGTTATTCTTACATCTTCCCAAGGATTCATTTCAATTGGTGACCGTACTTTGCATAACCCTCCCACTTGGGTCCCATCAAGGAATCAGTGCACAAGCCGATCGATCCTTGGCTAACTGGGACATACAAATAAACTTTATTGGCACTATTGACTAAACATGAATCATAGGACATGGGAATATGCCTTTTTGAAATGATTCTGCTTCTAAATGGAAAAATCACCAATGACTGCATTATGATGTGAACACGAAATGAATCAGGATAAACTGCGACTCGGATATTTCAAGACTTGCAAAAAATTAAATTTGATCACGAGTAGCCATGATTCGAATATTCTGAAATCTGGTTTTAAGCATTTCGTCACTTTCTCTTGAGTTCACCAAGTATTGATAGTTTTTGGAATCTTCTCATACCTTTACTTCCATTTCTTTTCCTGATCGCGAAAAGATTCTTCCCGCTTGCATTAGTTTAACGTAATGAATAGAAAACGTCTTTAAGTTCAGCATCCACGAATGGAAGAAAGGGCGGGTAGTAGTGTTTGTCTTGAACTTCCCTCATCTTAGGGTTCCAGGTATAGTATCTTCTCTTCAAGATCCATACGTTTTTAGTCCCTGATGACACCAGTCTATGATTAAAATCAAGGCTCCTATGTTGCATATTGGGAGTGCATAGGACTGCATATTGGTAACACCAATGCATAAAGGAAAATTCTTATATCTCATGTCGAGTTTGTATTGTTGATATTACTTGATTGATGATTAAAGAATGTGGTGCATTCCTGTGAATGCATTGATTTGTCGAGTAGTACAAGCCCTTGATCACTATTTTTCGTGAACACATGTCAAAAGTCTCTATACACAGGCTCCAATTTTTTACCATTCCCAGAGGGAATTCTGTTTTATTAGAGCTCGTAGCGTGGACGTCGTTTTTTGAGGCAAGCTATGAACTTGACGGGCCCTTGTCTCTGCCACGGAAACCAAACATGACCCTGACTCCATTCCATGCCTTTGTTATCGGACGTTTATCGTTTATGGGATCCGGGTCAAACATGGAAATATCCATACCTTTATCTTTGAATTCTTTCATACATTCCTCGAAAGGATCCATTTCCCCTCTGATA